AGGCCCCAGTTATTGTGTTAAAGAGAACTGCAGCCCCCAGTGTTATTAGACATCCAGAGATTGTATTGTGGGGGAAAAAGGTTAAAGTTAGAATTCCTCCTGTATAATAGATAAAAAAAAGAAGATCGTTATTGTTATGCATGATTTTTTTAACAGCAAGTTTTCATCTCCCTCCTATTACCAGAAACAATTGTATCTTTAAAAAATGCCATGAGACTTATGATTAATGTTCCTCCTTAATGAGTTTAGTGAAGCTGTAATAGGCTTAGCAAGTGTTAAGACCAGTTGTGTGCAGAAGAGTCCTCCTCCTATAATCCCATCCATAGCTAGTCCCTGAAACCAAAGGACACACTTTTGTATATGACAGAGACCTTGCAGAGGTGATTAACTCATGGATCTGGGATGAGAACTTTCTAGACTCAGTGCAGTCAAAAGGCCTTTGAAGGAAGGAGGGAGGCAGGAAGCAGGAAGGGGTGCTGTTGGAAGCTGGACCCAGACTGATCCAGTCCATGGATTTAAAGTAGAGGGGGGTGTTCAGGAAGTCCCAGGCAGGGGCCAGCTCTGGGGGTCCGACAAACCATGTCCGGCCACTCAAAAACCAAACAGAAATGGGTTCCCATGAGGGAACCACAGCTCCCCCAGCATGAGGAGTTTAGCCAGTGTGGCCACCTTTGGGATTCTGACCTCCTGGACTGTAACGTGTTAAGCTGGGTTTGTGACAGCATAATATCCACAGGAAACTAACATTCCAATAAATAATTCTCTCAGTTTTTAAGTAAAAGCAAGACAAGATGCTAATAATAAATTGGCCTGCACCTATGCAGTCCTCAGTGTCCCAGGTTTTGACGAGGCCACTTGTAACCCAGCGACAAGGTCATGACTGAGGCATCACCACCTCTCAGCTCAGAAAGGGGAAGCTGCAGAGCTGAGTCAAGGCTTAGGACCTGGCCTCCATCTTCCCTGATCTCTGCTCCTCCTCTTAACTATGCCCAAGGGGCAAGTATCCTCCATGCTTCAGTTAAGTTCAAATCACCTGGTAGAGGTTAAATGACTACAAGGGATAAAGCTATAATCAGGAAAACTTCATTTTCCTTCAAACATAGTCAATAATTAATAAAGTAACTAAAAGAAGTCAATTTTTTAAGAAACTGAAAATTCTTCCTAACTCCTGGGAAATCCCCAGTCCTCAGCCACCTGCCTTCAGGTGCCTGGCTTCATGTGGAGGTAGGACACACACACACTTTTCTCACCCAATGTCCCTTGAGAAAGACCCTGCAAACTCCTAGCTCAGAAATCTGACATCGAGCCTCTGTCACAAAGGAAGGAGAGCTTCTTATCTCCAAGGGAACAGGGTGCCTGTCCTCTGGGCCTGCTCCCAGCCCTTCACCAACGTCCCCACCATTACATACTGTGAGATCCAATTTGCTTTGGGGGACCTGAGCGTTGAAGGAGATTTTCAGCAAAGTGTGTCGGGAGGAGCTGGCAGAGTTCACTCTAAGCAAGAACCCCTGAGACCAAGACTACTACTTATAACTGACAGAAGGAAAAGCAACACAGGCATTTTGAAAAAAAAGTTGCATGAAGTGTGAATCTAATTTAAAACTTTGTGGAATAAATTGAAATGCTACTAGAGAAATCCTGTCAATGATTTACAAAACTAAAACTATGAATTAATTTAGCATATGTTTTGACCTAGTTGCCTTTTCTTACTGTATTTTCCTAAGCACAAATATCCTCAAATGGGGAGGAGAGGGTTTCCCTCCTTAAACAGCATTTGGAAAATCCTTCAGGGGAAGTGGCCAGCTGTGTGAGCTGAATCCAGTGTCCTCACATGGTACCTGTCTGGTCCTAGCAGCGCAACACACCGCTCTTTCCAACAGGCTTCCTGAGTGTGTGGGTGCTCAGAGGTGCAGACCAGCTCCCCACCCTGGGCATGGACAGCAGTTACAGGGGACTCTTGTTCAGTCTGATGATTCACTGCTGGGCTGACCTCAGTCTCCAGAGTTAATCTCTAAGTGTCACATCTTGGGGGAGTGAGGGACATGGGCCTCCTTTGCTGCCGGGTGGTCTCCTCAGCCCCTCCGGGGGGAGTCATGGACACAGCCCTGGACTCTCCCCCAGCACTGTCTGCCACTACTGGCCTGGTGCCACCTCCTGTCCTCTCCGTCATGTGCCCTGTGAGGCCATCAGTGGAGGGTGGCCACGGGCACAGGCTGGCACCTGAGGCCGTTCCTCCCCAGAGCAGGAGCATGAGGAGTTTGCTCAGCAAGACGCTGGGAAGCAGGGGTGCTTGTTCCTCTGCTGCAGAGGCCCAGGTGCAGGGTGGAGAGGCTGCAGCAGAAATGGGTCCTGCAGTCTGGCCAGCTTGAGCCCTAGTGAGAGCAGGACTGTGTCAACATTGGGGACCAAGGGGGGACCTGCAAATATTGCTGGTAGGAGTGGGCACTGAGTCAGTATAAAAACCTGAAAGAGCATAAATTTCACTAGGAAATTTTAATACAGAGATAATCATATGAGTGGCAGCTTGTACTATTAAAAACTCCTCTTGGCGTTATTTCCAATAAGAAAGCCAGGAGACTGAGCATAGTCGGCTGCACCCACACTGAATCACTTAGGCTTCAGCACATCACGGTGCTCCAAGTGGCCATTGTGACACGAGGGAGGTCTCCAATCCCCCATGGTTTGACAGTTTCACTGTGCTTGTAAGAGAAAAGGGTGGCGTGTGTGCATACTTCATATCCACAGCCACATGGACACAGTCTGACACTCTCCATCTTCAGGCTGAGAGCACTCAGTACCTTCATGGCACATGTCATAGCTGATTTCTTAGAAATACTCAGTGTGCATTATTTTCAAATGAGAACCATTACTTGCAATCAACCCTGCCTTGGGTCAGAGTGAGCTACCTTTTCTCCCTTTGAGGAGATTCCGTAGCTTGCCTGGGAGGAGGGAAAGCCTCTGTCTGCAGAGCCCCGTCAGCTGTTCAGAAGCCAAGGCCTCGGCCCGTCTTACCTGTGTTCAGAGAAGCCTCCTGCTTGCACCTATAGGAGCTATAGGAGCCCATGCCCCCTATAGCCCCCACCACCTGTCTGAAGCACCCCCTGGGAGGAACCTGGCAGAAGCCAGTGGTGTCCCTTCATCTGAAGTCACTTAAGAACTAGTGAAGTTGGACAGAAGGTAACTACAGTTCTTAGCTTTTAGCTCAGCATATAGTTCTTTTTTTAAAATATTTTTTAGTTGTCAGTGGATCTTTTATTTATTTATATGGAGTGCTGAGACTCGAACCCAGGGCCTCACACATGCCAGGCAAGTGCTCTACCACTGAGCCACGACTCCAGTTCCCCTCAACATACAATTCCATGTGAGCTGGTGAAGCGCATTTAATTTAATTGAGCTTCAGTTTCCATGCTGCCCTTTAAACCCAAGATGGCCTGGAAAAAGGAATATAATAATAATAATAATAATAATTTATTAACTTGATATGTGTACATAGAGTGCCACACCTTCTAAATGCAGTGGCTTCCACTCGTTCACTACCCTGATATTTATTGACAACATATTCTATGTCAGGAAAATGCCTATGTGCTTGGGAAGCAGAACAAAATGAAGATCCTGGTTTTTGTTACATGATAAGTAAAACTGAATAAAACCAAATGAGCCTAAAGGGCTGATCAAAGGAACAGGAGAAAGCCTGTGGGCTGGTCAGGCTGGCGCAGAGGCGTGTGTGCATGAATGGCTCACCTTGCTCCACTCAGCTGGTTTGTTGCAGCCGGTCAGAACCCACCATTCCACGTCTCCATAATGTTGAGAGAAGCAGGCAAGGGGGGTTTGGCAAAGACCCTGCTGGTCTGTCAGATTTAGGAAGTTCTGCCCTCAACACAATCTCAACGGAAAAAATAATGAACAAAGCTTCCTCTGGTTCAGCTCCTAGTTTTCTCAGGAAACACTCTGTTTCAGGTCAAGCTCTGGAGGCCATGTAGCTATCTGCCATCACTGTAGCCTGGCCCTGGTACATAGGAACTCCTGTGGGAGTCGGGACTGATGGCCGAGGTCAGGCCTCATAGTGGCGCCTCACTGCAGCGCGCCAGCCACAGGTCTGGGTCAGGACTGTGCTGTCACCCCCCAGGCCACAGAGGCCTGCTTTGTCCTCTCCCTCTGAATCAACGTCTGCATAACTGTCTCTAGTCAGCTTATCTGACCACTGCTTTTCTGAAATCTCCCTTAGTGTTTATAGATTAGAGGATATAGGTGCTTTGTGTTTTTCACTGTTAAAATTTTACATTGCATAAATAAAAATATTTACTTACGTAAAACAATATGTGGAAGCCTGAGTTCAGATCACTTCATGTTCACATCTCTCACACACAGAAAGACCCCACAGAAGGTCTTTTTTCTCTCCAGATTGGTCCTCAGGCTCTAAGTAGACCAGTTCACCTGGCATCCGGCAAGAATTAATCATGGCTTTTATCAGCACCTTGCTCTTGGGGGACTTTTGTCCAGGCCATTATCAGGATGACCAAACTGGCAGCTGTGTCCTGCATTACCTGCTCTCTCCTTTGACAATTGTCTGCCAGTTAATATCAAGGTCTGCACACAGTGAAAATCAGACCAGAAGTCACAAGTCCTGGTCTGAGTCCCTGAGTGCCTGTTGCTCAAGTGAGGTGATAATTTGTCTGAACATCAGCTTTTTCATGTCCCATGGGGCTAATTATTTTTTAAATACCTTATAGAACTTTGTAAGGATCAGGTAATACAATTGAATATAATTTGAAATATAGGGACATATTTTTATTTGTCTTTTTGCCATCATCTGGAATGGTGTGTGTCCTGTTGCAAGTATGCAATTGATAATATTAAAATTGATTTTAGGTTTTTGTAATTGTCATTTCCAAGTTAATGCATCATCTTTAATAAAGAGGAAAATCTGGTGACCACAAATATACTCATATGGAAATTAGGTGAACTAACCTTGGAAAAAAATCTCTTGCTCTCCCTCTTAGGTTGTGACTCATCTTTGGTTCTGAGGAGTGGACACCCACCACGTGACATGCATTATGGGTTTTCCAGTTGTTTAGAGAAAATCCATGGGAAGTGTTCATGTAGATCAGCCCTCACAATGTGACACTGTGGAACTGGCCCCGAGTTTGCTGACCTGTGTCTTCAACGGCATGGCAGAATTCACCTCCCTCCATGTCCAGCCAGCAAGGCCCATGACCTCTGCAGGGATTGTCCAAGTGCTCTTCTCTTCCACGTTGCTTTTCAAGTATTTTGAATATTTTGAAATATCAATCAATGTGTAGGTTAAATGCCCTTGTTAATCATGCAAGAAAATTAATCTTGGAAATGCAAGAACAAACACCCTAGCACATATTCACACAGGCCTCGAGTGATGTCCGGGACTCCATGGAAACAAGAAGGAGAGGGATTCCCAGTGGGGAAGACACTGGAAGTGCAGCATGCAGTGACCTTGTGGAAGGAAAGGGCAGCAGAGGTGCTGCAGGCTGGAGGAAGGAGAAGGAAAGGGCTGTCGGGCCGCAGGACACAGCGTTCACCAGGCTGAACGGGAACACGGGGGAGGATTTTCCCAAATGAATCCGGGCTGCCTCGCGCTCCGGGAAATGCTCCTCCAGCCAACCTTCCATCCCTTTCCTGCTTGTTACTTGTTTAACTTCAGGATAAAGTAAAATTTCCGGGAACCTGGGAGACAGAGCAGGCCAGTGGTGGGATCACTGCAGGGAAGCTGTCCACCTGGGTGGGCGCTGCTGGGGGATGCTTCCCTCTGCCTCCGAGTTGGTGCCAGGGAGCAAAGGACGGAGTAGACTTTGGTTAGTCTTTGTCGGCTACACATCACCTGAAAATTGTCCAATTTTTCCTAAGCCTTGTGCTGCTAGAGGAAAGGAGCACCAGTGAACCCCAAGGTGTCTTATTTCTCAAGTTTGAGGCCCCTATGCACAGAAGGAAGTGAAATAATAGGTCATGGAAGGTTCCCTGTCCTCTGGTCAGTTGAAGTTGGATTCAAGTTGACCACCTATCAAAACACCACATCTAACCTCAACTAATTGGAAAAGAAAGGCGTTTCTACCAACATGTCACCAGAGAGGCGAAGAGAGAGAACACAGAGCCCGTTAGCCTAGAGGACGTAACGATAGCTAGGCAGAGGTCTTCATGTGCTCATTCTGCATTCATCTGTTACCACTTTATTAAATATCAATGGAAGTTGATTTAGACTTTAAAACTTGAAGGCAGTTTCAACTTTCAATCAACCAGTCAAGCAAACAATAATTAATTTCTGGCTAAGCCCTAGACTATGGGAAGAGAGGCATGGTAAGAATCTATCATGTAAATTCATAGCCAAGAAAATAAAGAGATAAAATGTGATTGAAAACACAGAACCTCAAACACAATCCCATGTTCACAA